AAAAGAAGCATGCAATCTATTTGTTTACCTTAATATCGAGAATGCCTGACCCGACTTTCGAAGTCCACTGTGGATGAAAATGTAAAGCCTTCATAGCAGTAGACTTATCCTGTTCTCTCAATGTAGAGTTCATAGGATACCTATACCAATATATAATAAAGAAAGCGAAACAGATTATATAAAAAGAAAAGCAGCATAACGGAACCAAACAGACGAACTTCTTCACTCGTGAACATGTTCAAGAATGTGAAAGATGTATATATATATATATATATGTGTGTGTGTGTGTGTGTGAGCCATCCCTGATTTCAGAATAACAACAGAGCTTTCTTCCGTTTACACTATAAGTTGGTACATCTTGAGAAAGATGTAATCGCACAGAAGCCCACATATTCGTCAATTTTCAAGGATAAAATGCAGTTTTTTTATAATTAGGCTAAACCTTAGATAGTACTCCCTCCTATTCTTTTTAAATGTCGTTTTATGCTTTAACACATGAATTAAGAAATTTTTTCTTGCCAGCACTAGCCTTATTTAAAGCAAATTAACAGTAATTAATTTCTTTTTTTTCAGCTTTTTTTTCTAAGAGAAAAAACTCATCGTATTCCACAACTTTCCTCCCAAAACGAATATTGTATTAGTTAGATGAGGGTAATAAAGGAAAAATATGCATAAAAGATCCTAACGTCATTTATTTTATTAACGGTCACTAAAGCCAAAATGACAAATAAAAAGAATATGAGGGAGTATTTGGTATTCCGTAATATCGTGAAAAGGTTATAGAAAGTTCGAATGGGAAAAATCCATACCACATGGATTTAGCAGACATGAAAAGATAATTTATATGTAGGAACCGAACAAACCAGAAATTGTGCTACACTACACTAACACGGAGAAAAAATATGACGGGTAAAAGTGAACAAATGTATGAAAGGGTTTTACGTACTCTTTCAGCATGCGCTTTAACCTCTGTGAAATTTTCTTAATTCCCAACTTGGTGAAGTGTCCAGAGACCAATTCCCTGAACAAACGTTTACGCGTTGACGTGTTGAAATGAGAGGACACAATAGGTTCCCCTAAAGCTTTCTTCAGTGGATCAATCGGTTTTGCAGATCCAATTTGAGTGCTCAACAGAGAATAAACATCCTTCGGCTTGGCTGGTCCTTTTTCCTAACAATGTAGAAACAGTTGTATACAAGAGTTATCTTTCAAGCATAAAATGCACAACACACAAAAAAATAATAATAATAATAAAATAAAAAAATAAAAATAAAAAACTCATAACCGCAAGACGTGATTTCTCTATATTCAAAGTCAAACCTCAAGAGTATTGCAACTATGTATGATTATTTGCAACAGAAACAAATTATGATATATACCTTTAAACAATACAAAATATCAAACTCGGAACTGGTTCCGATCGAAGGAGCTTTTCCCCATGCTAAAGCCTCTAGACTTCCTTGAAGACTGTCCTTTTGTCCCATCTTAGCCGCTTTCACTAAGCAATCACTTGGACTCTGAATTCCATCATCCACGTCACAAGATTAAGCAACTATTATATTCCTCGAAGGAATGCATATAAAGGAACATACAAAACTATCAATGATTACTAACCGAGAAGCACGCCTGAGCAAAGGGTGAATGAACATTGGCTTCCTTTCGTTGGTTGGACAATCCTTTAGCACTTAGCGGCACGAATTCACCACTCGCTGACAGGCAATTGGCCGTCACAGTCAAATGTTCCGGAAGGATGGTCTTTCCAGTGTCTTCAATGGCAGAATGCAAATCCTGCGTTTGAAAGATTAAATTATAGTTCCTCCTTTTTTTACTTTTTTTTTTCCTTTTTGTTTTTCTCTCAAACATCAAGGAATTGACATAGGATGATGCAAAAATTTATCGAGGCAAGGCTGATAAGAGTAGTTATTGATACATAGGTCAAATTAAAAAAATTAAAAAGAACAATAGATAGAAAAACCTATCCTAAGGTTTAGCCTAATTACAAGGAGTATTTGTAAATTCCAAGGGATATTTCTAATATTTAGAGGTAATCTGATTTCAGTATATAATTTAAACCTCAGGGGAGGCTTTTGTAAATTCCAATTAAAAGTGATACGGAAAATGGGGATAAAATGAATAAGAAACTCACTTTCACAAAACGGTACCATGCAACATCAACTCCAAACGCTTCACCACATTCAAGAATGTCATCCGGATGGCTACGGTTCCAGTCGATTAGATTTCTTATTCGTAGGCACTTATCTAAAAGGATGCTCCAAAACTTGGTTCTATCACAAAGATCTGACATCACAACCCGTAAAAAGAGTTCCCCTGAAGCCCGCCGCCTCGTAGATTTTGGATTATTTTGATCATCTTTCCACAAAATATCGACCTTTTTAAATTCCTGACATCCTGAAAAACAAAAACAAAAAAAGTATATGTTGATTATATTTATGATGCATAATTTATAAATACTGAAAGTTCAATTCTCTTAGAAAAGAAAAGATAAAGAAAAGAAACAAACGAACTTAAGAGACATAAAAATGAAAAGAATGCTTAATGAAGTTTGATTATCCAATGGAAGTTGAAACCTTTTATCACTGTCTTCAGAAGGGCAGGTTCAACCATGTCACGAAGAACATCCAAGTCGGAGAATTCATTGAAGCTCTCAGAAAGTGCAGCCGTAATGCAAATAATTGAATCGAGGCCTCTATGATCATCAATTTCAGAACAAGCCCTGCCCATGAAGAAGGCAAAATCATAAGGCGAAATCAGTAGAATATAACAGTGATTGGAGCTCAAAACAACTAAATGATTGATTCACATGCAAGCACAATTTATTAACGCTTTGTTCTTTTTTTTTTTTCTTAAATTGAAAATTTGGTTACTTCTGTGAAATTTGGGAAGTCCTTAAGAGAGAAAAATTCTTACTTGCTAGTGATATGCAGGGGAAGATCTATTTTCCATTTTACTCCACTTGATTTTCTGTTCATATTAAGGGCATTGATGACCGAGCTCAATTTCAGCCTCTTCTTCTTGGCAACTTCCTGAAAGATCAAAAAGTAGTTTCGAATTAACATACTTGAAACATTGAATAAAGTACTATCACGTTCATTATACTCTACTAACCTTGTCTATATGAAAATGGCAAGCCCATGGACCTGCAGTGCTGCGTTTTCCTGCCTTGCTCGAGAAGCTGATTTCGACAATAGGCATAATTAGAGATATTATCAGACAGATAGGGAATGAAAAAGTGAAGTTCACGAAAAAAAAAATGATAAGCAATAAATGAACACACCATATCTTTACTTCAGAAACTACGTCGGCCAAAGTCAGGCTCTCCAAATGATCCTTCACTTCTAAAGCCGCATACTCGAAACCATTTGCCCATCTCTCGAGTCTTTTGGACAAAAACAGCGATGCACTTTTACTTCCCGTATTTCTTTTGACCCCACTATCCAAAACTTTCTGCATTGTCAAAATTGTGATAAATTTGTATTAGAAAGAAGGAATAACAATGAGTTCCACAGGGCACACTGAGATAGATGATTTAAACGCACAAGCAATTCTCCAAATAGTTTAGAAAAATGCAAGATCAGGCAGTGGAGAATGCAGAGAGAGAGAGAGAGGGAAAGAGAGAGAGAGGGAGAGAGAGAGAGTGAGAGAGAGGGAAAGNGTGTTTGTGTGTGTGTGTGTGTGAGAGAGAGAGAGAGAGAGAGAGAGAGAGAGAGAGAGAGAGAGAGAGAGAGCACCTTCAAATTTAACAAAGGAGATGGCTCTAGCACACTAACTGGTTGATCCAAAGCACTGTAGGCAGCTTCAATAATGGCACAAGCAGCCATCGAGCCAACTGGATGTCCTCCAACAGGGCCATCACCATTTTCAACATGCATGTTCTCCGTGCAATAATCAAATTGCACCACGTGATTTCCGTAACTGCTCCTGACAGTGCCATCATACCCAATCATCAAGTCTCTCATGAAGAACATCAACTTCCGAGCCAGAGTCCCCGAAACATCCGCATGTCCACCGAAAGTACTGTCGCGCGTCGTCAATGACAGCATGAAACACTCCATGGGATTTAAACCTTCCAAGAAAGAGCCACCCACCATCGTACACGGAATATACGAGTCCGAAACTGCCTCACGATTCTTTTCCTTATTCCATCCAGCACACGAGAGCTCGTTCGGGACAGGAAAGGCAACTGGGGATAGCGTGTGCTGCAAACCCACGCACATGCTGTGTTGGGACAGCTTTTGAAGATTCCCTTTGCTTCCGGCCTTCAGCATGGCTATGAGAGAATTGTTCTTTCCTGTGTGCTTGTACACGAGACTCTGCATGTCACGCGAAACTGACTTGAGAACCGAAACCGAAGCTTGAAAGAGCCGAGGATCAGACGGTAAATTCAGCGCCGGAAAAATCTCACTCTCGTCCGAGCTGCTGCTTTCCATCAGAAGATGCTCGTTGCCGGCCACCATCGCCAAACTGATCTCGGACAATTTCTTTGCCTCTTGCAGACCGAAATTTATTTCCTCGAGAAGATTCTTTCGGGAATCGATATCCGACGAGAGGTAAAGATCCGATAACGAAACACTCAATCCCCTTCTCATGAGCCATTCACAAAGAACCTCCTGCCCTGCTGTCAGAAAATCGAGCACGTTATCTCGATACTGCCTCACGAGGCACTGAAAGAGATTCTCGCTACTGTCGTTAAGCCAAATCGATCCATTCGAGCACGAAGACACAACCTCACCATGCCTTATGCAAACGCCGTTCGACGGGTAGCTGAATTCGAAATCCCGAGGCAAAAGCTCGCTGAACAATTGATTACCCGTCCACAAAGCGGACCTTGAAGAAGAGGAGGACTTCACAATACCAGGCACTGGCAGCAGTAAATGGGAAGAAGAAGAAGAACAAAGCATCTGCAGCTGCTGGATCTCGATTTTTGTCATGACAACACCGTCCTCGAGCAAGAGGTGGGCCCCAGTAAGGCTATCCTGAGTCAACGAGAGGAGGTTTCGCCCGTTTTGTCCGTTCACAAGCTGCTTGTCCAAAGTGACGAGCTCTCGAAGCTCGACTCTCGAATTCACGGACTGCGGGACATAGCCGTGCAGGCAGTCCCCATCAAAGTCCCCTCTGAGAGGGTCACAGATTAAGGGGTTTATTGATATAACATAATTTATCGGGAGAATCTTGACAGATAATGCTATGAGCGAGTGCTGATGGATCGACGGAGGGCGATTGATCAAAACTATGTCCCCATCCAATAGCTGCCGTCGGATAGAATCTCCTTGTCTTAACATGTCTTTTGTCCAGATTGTGACCGTTTGATCATTCCTTAGGACAGAAAAGCATCCCCTGTCCTTGAGCATGAAATCACAGCACTGCTCGAGCTTTTCCCAGTTCCATGAGTTGATGTGGTCTGAGACGAGCATTTTCTCGGCTATTTGAGAGGGAAGCCCGATTTCACCAACTTTGAGTCTCGGGTCACCAACGACTACCATACGAAAAGAGTGGTCTGTTCTTTTGCCGAGCACGAGGTCTTTGAGGTTCCTCAAACCTGACGAGCTCGAGGCCGACTCGTTTAACGACTGTTTTTCGTATGCCTTCTGTTGGTTCGAGACTTGCTCAGAGCGTAACTGCAGGATCGGGGTAAAAGGTTTATGACAAATAATTTATATCAGGGAAAAAAAAAAAAATGAGAGGGTTGATTTTTCTTGCCTTGGATAACTTGTATCTTTCAAGAACACGAGCACTCACTACATTTGGTGTGCCTGGAGAATCAACCAGCTTTCGGTACAACTTTGTAGTTTCATCCTGGACGATAGCCAAAGTTACAAAAGAGACGGATACAGAGTAATAGGTATATAAATTTTCCCCAGTCATTTTTACGGTTACAAAAAAGAAGAGCACCGTTGGAGTTGAAATCACTTACGGTAGTCATGCGCTGATTAAATTCTCTCACCCGATGACTGTTCGGGGTCACAAGCAAAGTATTTTGGAAGATTGCGTTTTTCCTCTTCACAAGCTTTTCAAGAATACCTTCACCTACGTCCTTTAAAATGGTAAAGACCTGAACGAGAGATGACAGTAAATAGTAAATACATAGTCCTGGTTATAGACCTGAAAATAATGGCATACACAAGAATTGTCCCAGCTGGAGGGAAAATAACTACATGTTAGGTGACTCAGTGGCATTGTTTGTTATTAGTTTTTATTCAAGGGTAAACCAAAAGTGATTTAGGTAACACACTGGACTACGTAAAAAATCTACTTAATTTTGATAGCACTAATAAGGAATATTGTTAGTATCCATGCAACATGTAGCTGATATTTGGGGAATAACTGATTGGCATATTCGTGCAATATTTGAGGAAGTAACAATATCTGGGTAAGTAATTAATTGACTGGGAAGATCTTAGCATCGTTGTAGCTAAATTAGGGGCACCTGATAATTATATCAAATTACAACTAGAAGAAAATAAAGGACATAATTTCACTTGGAAGCTTCAGAATATTTTACTTTCCAAGCTTGCACAATGAAGAAAGGGAAAAAAGGATAGCTGGTGGTTGGGAAGCTCATGAGAGTAGTGAGGCGTATATAACAAAATAATATTAAGATATTGAACTGAATTTGTAAGGAGGTTTCCTCAAATTGAAAAATAAAAAGTTTCTATATTCGCAAACAGAAAGTTTCTTTATTCACCTGAGCAGGAGATAGTACTCTCTTGTTTGGCGGCAACTTGTCATGCACTTGATCAATATCTTTTGGGATTACATCCCAATAATCAGAAGGCAGACTGAAGCCAGAGTTCTTATCAACAAATTTTTCATGGACTTCCGCAATAATCGCACTCTTGGCAAAGACATGTTTCGAAGATATACGGAATTTCATTTTAGGATATCCGAATCTTGCGTTTCCCTGTTAACCGAAGAAAACTAAAGTTAATCGTGACCATGCAAAAAGTTGCATGTATTGTATTTTAAGGGATCCGTATCTCGTGTTTCACTGCAAGAAAACAAGATAATCATAGCAATGAAAAGAGTCACTCACATGACAATATCTGCATATTGTAGGTGGATGATTACTTGCAGCAGAATCAGCTTTCTAATACATGCAAAAAAACAATAAAAATGACTGTCATCAACAGGTTGAGGAGAATTCAAGTGGTGAAGTGATAGTTTAGTAGACTTCTTTTTTTTTTTTTCAATTTTTCAACAATGCATAATTAGACAAGAAAGAAGGAAAGAAAGAAAGAAAGAAAGAAAGAAGATGAGAACACTGACAAATAAGGTTACTGAATTGGTATACATGCAGTTATATAATGAATCTTTCTAAACTCGTGTTCACAAGAGAGGATCCCAGATATTATGGGTTGAAAATCCTCAATTCATCTCCATATCTTTCTGAAAAGTGCAATATGAATGCTATCAACTGCACCAGCAATTTACTTTCATCAATGAAAATGATCCCTAAGATTGGAGTTTGGTAATTCCCAGCAAACACAATCTTCATACAAGTACCCTCTAAAAATCTTAATGAAGTTCTGAATGCCCTAATGGTACTCATAAATTTTCCTTAAGCTCAGAGTCACCCTTACTTTTTAGGAAAAAAAAAATAATATATAGGCACCCTTTATAATTACGAGACAAGTATCATGGTTATTGTTTCAACACATAATATAATGTCTAACCTTGGCCTTGCCAGTCCGGATACTTTTACATCCTATACATATTTTGTTAAGAACTTGCGCGATTTCGGGCATGTAATAATTGTTCAGAATAGTGAAAGGGAGGTTGATCCGACCGAAATGCCCTGCAGATACAAAAGTTACATCATATCCCAGATGAAGATTTTTGGTGGAAAAGAAAGACAAAAATGGCATGATCACTATAAGTTCTCAAATTACCTTCACAGTCTCTTGCGTTTTTGGCACCACAAGTAGTGCACTCGGTAGCATTAAACGTAGGAAGTCCAAGAGAGGCACTTGATACATCATGAACTGATCCAATCACGGATGTCGATAGCTTCTCCTATAAATGTGAAATGCGGATATTAATAAGTCTGGGCAATTCACAACATACATCCATATTATTTTATATTATTTTATATTACGTCAGATGATGATTAAAGGAAACTATAAGTGTATGTGCCCGTACCGCATCTTCATCAGATAAAATACCAAGACGAATGCCCTTAAGCTTGGCAGTTGTAGCTGGCAGTACTTCATGCAAATCTTTATCCATTTAAGCTCTTATTTTTCCTANAAGCTCATCAATTGATCTGAATATATATACACCACTAAAAGAAAACAAAAATGGCATTGATATAAAATTCTGGTTTAGAGTAACACTACCCTGAGAAATGTGCTTCCCATTAAAGGATAATCAAGAAAAACCAGCATTAGTAAGGACACATTAACATTTGTGTTTGACATGCAGGAAATTCAATTTGCTATATGTTTACAGCGTGCATTTCAAACTCCAATACTATTTATAAGCACCATATAGTTGTGGGATTATTTCGCTCCCAGACTCATAAACATCTCACAGATAGAAGACTCAAACAATACTAGCAATGAGCTACAACAAATCAAATGCCACTTTTCGTAATTTAAGACACATTAAACAGGGACAAATAGCAGCAGATTCTGACGTCTTGCAGCTGATGAAAGAATCTTCCAAGGCTGACCCTTGGTTAGGAATGAATTCAAGGGACTACCCTGCCATGATATTCAAAATTCGGGACTTTTTTGCATTAAAAAAAAATATTTTTGACTGCACACACCAACACATTTTCAATATTCAAAGCATCTTATAATTTCTTTCAACAAAAGGTGAACTGCTGAAAAAAATCTTATTCATTTTCTTACATCAGCGGTTCAATTAAATCAGATGGTCGAGATCTCCCTATTACCAAACAACAATAAACAAATATATATCCTAACAAGATTACCATCATACTCCCGTTTCATTCAGCATTAACAATACCGGAAAAGTTGCCATTATTTAACTTGCAAGTGCCAAAAGAAGCTTTCACGGTACACTTAATGCGGCTCATATCAGACTTACTGAAAAATCCATTTTTCGTCAAGCTCAAACAAATTAGGAATCTATCCGAAATCGAAAAACCGCATCAAAGTTCATGAACTGGTAAAAAAATGTCATAACATATTTAAGAAAAAATACACAAGCCGGAATCAATTTGGAACAAAAGGAGCCAAGTATATTCCCCAAAGTCAATTCAAAAGACGCTTTCACGGTTCATTTAATGCGGCTCTTATCGGACATGCTGGGAAATTCATTTTCCCTCAAGCTCAAACAAATTAGGAATCTACCCAAAATCAAAAGGCCACATCAAAGTTCATTCATTGGTAAATAAGACCAACTTATTTAAGAAAAATCTACACAAGCAGCAATCAATTTGGAACAAAAGGAGCGAAAGATGTCCCTCGAAGTCAATTCAAAAGAAGCTTTTACGGTTCGTCTAATGCAATTCTAATCGAACTTACCGGAGAATTCAAATTCCCTCAAGCTCAAGCAAATTGGTAATCTACCCGAAATCGAAAAGCGGCACCAGAGTTTATTAATTGGTTAAAAAAGCCAACTTATTTAAGAAAAAATCTACACAAGCAACAATCAATACAAACAAAAGGAGCCAATTGTATCCCTAAACAAATTAGAAATCTACCCGAAATCGAAAAGCTGCATCGAACTTCATAATTGGTAAAAAAATCCAACTTATTTAAGAGAAAACTTATAAGCAGCAATATAATCAGAACCTAAATAAGCCAAATATATCCCTCAAACTCAATTCAATTCCGTCATACGTAGTTAGATGCGTCCAGCACAAGTCAACACACATAACTCGACAAAACCCAGAGAATGAGTTACACAGCATGATCCCACATTTCAAAATCAACAGAAGTTTCCAAATGCATGCAGAAAGCCATCACAAACCAAACCAAGGTCCAATCCAAATTCATCACACCCATAGAAAAGGGTCAAGCACATTACCTCAAAACACTCGATAATCACCTACAACGCACAATTCCTCTGCAAAAGAAAGCATAAGAAACTCACAGTCAATACAAAAGAATCACATGATCATTATTCATACACGCATTGGGAATCAAACGCAATCCATCTCCTAAAAAAAAGATATGGAGCAACAACAACGAATAAAAAAGACAAAACGCACTTCAAATGATTCACTTGTAAAGGTAACGACAGCAAAAGATTCCAAAAAGAACAGATTTTTTTCCCTTTCCACGCACCTTTTCTGTATTCCCTCGCAAGCTTTTTTGCTTCCCCTTTATCTCTCCCCCCCACTCTTCTCTTCTAATGTTAGAGAGAGAAGAAGAAGCAGAAACACACAGAAAGTGTGAGAGAGAGAGAGGCTTCGTGTGTGTGCTGAGTTGTTTATCGAATTAATGGAGCTTTAAGTCTCTCTCTCTCTCTCTTGCTACGGCAGTGTTTGAATGGAAATAAATCACAGGGTTTAAGAAAAGAAAATTGGTGATATATAAATACAGAGATAATGGCATAGTTGTAATTATTTGGAAAATTGATGGCGGAAAAGCGCGGGGGGCTCGATAATCGAGTGACCTTGGGTTTGCTAAGCGTCAACAGGGCCCAAATTGGTAACGTAAAGGTGACAGGCAGTCTCCCAATTGGATCTTAATTAACCAAAAATAATTTGTTACCGATTAGATAAAAAAAATATTAATTAATTTTATATTCACCCATCTCGTTTTTTCTAATTACTATATTTTATTAATACATTTTGCAAAGCAATCATATATATTTTACAATGCAATTCATTATTCTTCTAATAAAACTATACTAACCCATACTTTTTTTTTTTAAATATCATTTTGATTTTATCAACTATTAACTAAATAAATTACGTTTTAATTTTTTGTACATTTTTTTCTATTATTAACCTCATTTATCTAATAAATACGCCACGTCTTCTCATATTCACTATTCATCTTTTCTCAAAACATCAATCTCTATTTTCATTCATCTTTTCTCGTTTTACTAAAAAATGAATACAGTATTTGAAATTGTGAAAAAATTAGATTTGAACATCTATAATACTTTTGGGTTTAATTTTGCCTAGTTGTTAATATAATAGACACGTGTCTTGAATAGTGTGGATAAATAAAAGAAAAATAAAGCATACCTGCTCCAATGCAAATTTTGTAAGTTGGCACAAAAGTGATCTGAAATCAAATAATTATGAGTGATTTATTAAAGTAATAATTTAAGTTGAGTCTAAAATAAAGTTTATCCAAATAATTATTACTAATACAGAACCCGTGCGATGCACGGAATGCACAATTTTAAGGCTATTTATCCAGGCTTATAATTATATACATGAATAAAAAAAAATGTACGGGATATATATAGTACGTGACCCGTGCGAAGCACGAGATATATTTATTTAGAGAATATTATATTATAAGATGCAATATTCAATAAAAGTTTATAATACGCAAGAAAGTTGTACAATGTTCAATAAAAGTTTTATAATATTCAAGTTGAGTCTTAAAGTCTCTTGTACATTAAGACTACTGACAAAATAATATTTTAATCAATGAGTTTCATTTCCTTGTAGCCAAATTGTGAATGTGATTTGAGGAGTACAACATTTCGATATATAGCTGACTTGCTTTTTTCATTGTAGTTTTTTTTCTTTCTTTTTTATAATGAATTTTAAGATATTCTAAAATATAGCAAAAATTAATTTTTTTATTACAATTAGGAATTTTACTAAATATAGACTGTCAATCTATGGTGTTAATCAACGTTTAAGTCTAAAAAATTAGAAATTTTTACCTCTTTTAATCAACGTTTAAGTCTAAAAAAATAGAGTTATTATAAGTTTTTTTCTACATCTTTTAGAACATTAAATATGAGCATGTTAGGGCTAACTTGTAAAATAATTAATATATTATCTCACTAAAATATTTATACTAATAAAAATTTAATTTTAGCATATAAATTTATCCCTTGATATAAGAGAAAGTAACAATTTTACTTATTGTTGTTCACCATATAATATTTAATTATTATTTTATTATATAATAAAAAAAGAATATTGTTAAAAATAGTGTAGTAGAATTGTTATAAAATTATATGATTTTTTTTTTACAATATGGATTTAATATTTTTTTATGATTTGATAATATAAACAAATCTATACTTAACTTTGACAAAAAAACAAATAAATATTTTAGTAAGTATTTAATGTATATACTAAATAGGAATATATGTGGTATAATCAAATACCAAATATAATCAAATAAGTCAAAGTGTACATTTTTATTTGGTATTTTATTTTTTTATTATTAAAATCTTTTTATTATACTTACCTTTTTAAAATAAAATAAATAAATAAATCAATTAAATAAATAAAATATTATAATACCAAAATAGTAATGGCATTTAATGCAATTGACTTTTCTGGATAGTAAATGTAGTAAATAGAATCTTCTTTTATATAAGTATAGATATGATATTATATTATGTTGCTCAAAATAGTAATGCATTTATTGCATTGAATTTTCAACTTACTAAATTTCATAAATGGTACACCTTATTATATAAGTATAGATGAGTGATTTGTTAAAATAATTCTTTTTATTATAGAAAGAAACTGTGTCTATAAACTCACTAGTACGTACCCGTGCGATGCACGGGGTTATTATCCATTTTCCACCTATTTTAATCACCGTTAAGTCTCGTTTAAGTCTGAAAAGAGTTATCATCTATTTTCCACCTCTTTTAATCACCGTTAAGTCTAAAAAAATAGGGTTGTAATATATTTTTCACATCTTTTAATCAGCGTTGTTTTATTAGTCAGAACATTAAACGTGAGCATGTTAGGGCTAACTTGTAAAATAATTAATATATTATCTCACTAACACATTTATATTAATATAAATTTAATTTTATTATATATATTTATTCCTTGATATAAGAGAAAATAACAATTTTACTTATTCTTATTCAATATATAATAGTTAATTATTAAACTTTGTTGTCATATAATGTCATTATTATTTATAAAGTTACACAAGTTGCACATCTTCTTGTTCTTTTTATTTTATGTAATGAAATATATTTAATGCACGTTGGTATTATTTATATAAGTAATCAATTTAAAATATGTAAATAAATTTAAAATTAAATAGTGTATAACTAATGTACAAAATATACACATATATTTTTTTAGAATTTAATTTTGTATACTAATTAAACAACTTTGATTTAAGAAAAGTCAACTAGATTTTCTTCCTCAGGCAAAAAAAAACCCTTTCGACAAAGCCAAGTTTTCTCACCCCAGCGAAGCCTTCCTTGGCGGCGGCACGGCGTCGGCCGGTGGTCGTCTTTGACCGCCGGCCCCCTCAGCTGAACCTGATGTTGCCGTAGTGCTCCGGCGCTAGTAGGGATGTCCTGCCCTAGGCCAACAGCGATTTTGCGGTTAGAGGGGGCGAGCCTCTAGATCGGAGATCGGGCGGAAATCGGTGGCGTTGATTGTAGGCTAGTCTCGATTGGAGGTAAGTTTTCCTTTATGCTTCTGTTTGGCTGTGAATTTTGGGGTTCCCCTCGGCGGTTCGCTTTTCTTGTGGGGCTCTTTTTGGGGCTTTTCCGGTGGGGCTCTGTTTTGGGGCTTCTCGACTTGGTGCAGGTGGATTGCGGTAAGGTCGACTGGCTATGGGTCAACAAGGGGGGCGGGACTCTGGCGTTGGGTAGGATGTGGTCTCACCGACGTCAGGGTTTGAGGGACCGCTCCTGGACACCATCACCATCCTCCGTGCGGCTAGTGGTGTTAGGCGGCGGGGGTCCGTTTCACTCGAGTGCAGCTAGTGGTGTTAGATGTACTTAGGGGGAACTTGTGTGGGGGTTGGCTTGGTTGTGGTTTCCTTCGGTTTAACGGTGGGTCGATTCGGGGACTGTTCTGGGATTTGGGTTCACCTACTGCTAGGCGTTCGTGCAGTTTCAGTAGCGGGACTTGGGCTCGGGATCTTTCTTCTATCGATCGGTCACTACTGTTTGGGGCGGTGTCGATTAGCTGAGGAAGGGCCAATTTAATTTGCTTCCTGCTTTCGTTGTGTTTTTGTTTTTGTATTTGTTGTTTTGTTTTTGTTGTTGTGTGTTCGGATTGTCCCTGTGGGCTTGAGTGCAACTTAATTCTCCTGTTGGGAGCGCACTCGGGTATTCTCCTGTTGGGAGGGTTCTCTTTTTTTATTAGTCGTTTTGTAGTAGGGTTCGTTTGTGTTTTGTGGTGGTTGATTTTCTCACGTTGCGAGCAGATATTCCGTCTAGGTTGCATTGGTGCTTTTGTAACCTCCCAGTTACCCAGGATTCGGGCTTTGCTCGTGTACATTGCCAGTTGGCGTTTTTAATGAGAATTTTATGTCGTTGGAAAAAAAAAAAAANATATATATAGATTAGAATTTTTGCGACACCAACCAAACTAAATATCACAACAACCAAGTAACAATTATGAAAAAATCCATAACACAACAACTATCAATTAAATTTGGTAATAGAAAAATTACATACATATATATAAAAATATGAAGATTCTATATTTCTATTAACTGATGTATACACCACGTCTATATTTTGTTAAGGTATATTGGAATGTTCAATTTCATAGCATGATAACAATCAGTCTTAAAAAATCGAAAATCTTATTGAAATGCCATATTTTTCTGTTAAAAAAAAAAATTCCCATAAAAAATAATTATATTATAGCAAATTCATTGTGTAATTGAACAAATTTCTATAATAAAACCCGATTTTCTGTACAAAAATAAAGTAACAACTTCCACATTTTAAGGAAATCAATTAATGTTGGTCAGTTTTTGCTAAGAAAATAATAAATAAATAAATTGTAATTAATGATGAGAGAATTTGACCATATCTGTTTTTAAAAATCGTAACAGAAAAACAAATATTAAATAAAACTGTATAATATGGAAATAGTAATGACAATAAATGCTGTTGACTTTTCTAGCTACTAAATTTGGTAAATAGGACTCCCTTTAATATAAGTATAGATAGATATATCAAAATGAATTCGAGTGGATATTTAATTCACTTTTTCACGTGTTATATCATCTTAACCTATTTTTTATTAGAGAACAATTTTTTACACAAAAAATTCAATATCCTACATAGCATCATACNTCTTTGTTCTTTTTACCTCTTTTCTATCCTATACTAAAAGTAACCCTTTTTTTTTTTACTAAAGATGAACTTTTCTCCCATAATTTATGTACTACAGTGGAGCAGGTCAATGATGTATTATTCAATTATTCAATGTTTTCGGTGCAAAATTGAATGTACATGTCCTAAACTCAATTATTTCAGAAATTTCAATCTTCAGTTCAATCTCCAATAGGGCCACAAATTTGAATAAATGAATATTAATCTAACTTCATGCTTATCAAAA